GGACAGTGAGGGGGCCACACACGGCGACAGCGGGGCCACGAAGGGCATGCACATGGGGCCAAAACCGGCGCGAACGAGCGGGGGCCACGAAGGGCATACGTATATTGGGCCGCGGAGGGCAAGAACGGGGCCACTGAGGGCAGCAACGGGGCCACGAAGGGCAGCGAGGGGGCCAAGAAGGGCGACAGCGGGGCTACGAAGGGCATGCATATGGGGCAACCACAGGCGCGAACGAGCGGGGGCCACGAAGGGCATACATATATGGAGCCACGGAGGGCAGCGAGGGGGGCACGAAGGGCCGCAACGGGGCCACGAAGGGCAGCGAGGGGGCCACGAAGGGCTGCAACGGGGCCACGAAGGGCTGCGACGGGGCCACGAAGGGCAGCGAGGGGGCCACGAAGGGCTGCAACGGGGCCACGAAACAAAGCGAGGGGGCCACGAAGGGCTGCAGCGGGGCCACGCAGGGCAGCGAGGAGGCCACGAGGAGCTGCAACGGGGCCACGAAGGGCAGCGAGATCCTAGGTAATCTGTGAGGGAATCCTCAACGTGAGCGCGACTCCTGGGTGCCTGGGTGTCGGGAGCGCGGCGCTTGAGTAAATTGCAAGAAAGTCGAACGTAAGGGCGCTAGCGCGACTCCAGAGCGCCGGGAGAGCGATTCCTGAATAGATTGTAAGGAAGTCCCAAGCGAGAGCGTGATTCCTGAATAAAATGCGAGTAAGTCTCGGGCGGGAGCGGGGGTCCTGGCTAAATTGTGAAGAAGTCTCAAGCGGGAGCCGTTGTTGTTGTCCGGGGGGCAGGGGGCCAGTTTGAGCAGGAAGACTTTCTTTGACAAAAAACTAGGTGCGAGACCCGGGGGGGGCATTTCAATTGAAAAAACAATGTGCACCGGTGGGGGGGATCAACAATAATTATTCTTCAAGAATGAGAGCTCAACATCAACATCAACATCAACATCATCAACAACAACAACATCAACAACATTAACCACAATAAAAATTACTCCGACGGAAAAACCCCACATAAGAATCCTCTGGGCGAATCTGGAAAAAAACATCACCGTCGTCCTCGTGGTTGGTGAGGCGTCCTGGCTGTCTCTTCTGCGTATATTTCCTGTCGCCTTGGCGCGGGCCCCCCTTCCACTCCTTACGTTGTCCCCATCCTCGCCCCCCTGTTTGTTCCGCGCCCCGCCACCTCCTCCCCTTCCTGTTGCATGAGCGCGCATGTCGATGTTCCTCGGCGCCGTCGCCGCCACGGCCAGCACAGGCGCGTTCTCTACTGGTCACGTCGCGCAGCCGTTGGGACAACCCCGCGGGCCAGGCTGTCGGGACAACCCCGCGAGCCGTTGGCGCGCAAGACCAAGCCGTTGGGACAACCCCGCGGGCTTCGAGCGAGGCGCAGCCGCGCTCAGGCGGAAGGCAGCACGAAGCCCAGCTCTGCCGCGAGCTGCTTCGCCTCCGCCCTGGACAAAACCGCCTGAGACTTCCTCCATATTCAAGCTTGAGGAGCCCAAAAGTGACGACAGTTACAGGGTTCCGATGACCCGCTCGGATTACCAACATGATCTGCGGGCCCCATAGGGAGGGAGCTCCCGCCTGAGACTTCCTCACAATTCACTCAGAGACGAGGCTCCCGCCTGAGACTTCCTCCAAATTCAGGCTTGACGAGCCCAAAAGTGACGACAGTTACAAGGGTTCCGATGACCCGCTCGGATTACCAACATGATCTGCGGGCCCCATAGGGAGGGGGCTCCCGCCTGAGCCTTCCTCAGAATTCACTCACAGACGAGGCTCCCGCCTGAGACTTCCTCCAAATTCAGGCTTGAGGAGCCCAACAGTGACGACAGTTACAGGATTCCGATGACCCGCTCGGATTACCAACATGATCTGCGGGCCCCATAGGGAGGGAGCTCCCGCCTGAGACTTCCTCCCAATTCACTCACAGACGAGGCTCCCGCCTGAGACTTCCTCCATTTTCAAGCCTGGGGAGCTCAAAAGTGACGACAGTTACAGGGTTCCGATGACCCGCTCGGATTACCAACATGATCTGCGGGCCCCATAGGGAGGGGGCTCCCGCCTGAGACTTCCTCACAATTCACTCACAGACGAGGCTCCCGCCTGAGACTTCCTCCAAATTCAGGCTTGAGGAGCCCAAAAGTGACGACAGTTACAGGATTCCGATGACCCGCTCGGATTACCAACATGATCTGCGGGCCCCATAGGGAGGGAGCTCCCGCCTGAGACTTCCTCCCAATTCACTCACAGACGAGGCTCCCGCCTGAGACTTCCTCCATTTTCAGGCCTGGGGAGCTCAAAAGTGACGACAGTTACAGGATTCCGATGACCCGCTCGGATTACCAACATGATCTGCGGGCCCCATAGGGAGGGGGCTCCCGCCTGAGACTTCCTCACAATTTACTCAACGATGATGAGGATGAAGATGATGAGTGGTGGTGAAGATGAGTGGTGAAGAGGATGATGATTGATTGTGAGTGGTGGTGGCGATGATGATGTTTGAATGAGGATGATGCCGATGCCGATGATGATGATGATGATGATGATGATGATGTTCATGAGCGTGTGAGAGAGTGCAAGAGATGATGATGATGAGTATGTGAGTGGCTAAGCATGTGAGAGAGCATCATCGATGATGCTGATGAGGTTGATGATGAGAGAGTGTGAGTGAGTGTGAGTGGGTGTGTGTGTGTGTGTTCCTGTTCCTGCGCGGGGTGTCCAGAGAAAACAAGAACCCCACTTTGGATGTGGGGAACAACAACAACAACAACAGCAGCAGCCGTAGCAGCAGCAACAGCAGCAGCAACAAAAACAACAACAAGTATTATGTTAAGACTGTTCGCTCTTATCTGCTCGCGGGCCATTCAATACGTCAATCCCAAGCAATCGATACCCACCCTCTTCATCCTCGACCGTGTCCCATTAGGGGCTATAGATCTGTCTTACCTGCAACGTGTATTACGCGCAGCTTCTAAGGCAGGGGAAGAGAGGACGGATGGAAGGAAGGGACAAGGACGGAGCACGAGAGGGAGTAGCAGGAGGAGGCTAGGAGCCGAAAGCGCCTGACAGACCAGACGGGCAGATCGGGCGGGTAGAGCGGGCCCGGGCGTCCAGGTCCAGCATGCGGGTTGCTGAAGCGTACGTCCTGCACCTGCATGAATCGCAAGGAAATCTCAAGCGACAGCGCGATTCCCAAATGAATCGTGAGGAAATCCACAAGGAAAGCGCGGCTCCTGAGTGTCGAGGGCGCGGCGTCTGAATAAATTGCGAGAAAGTCCCACGCGAGAGCGCGGTTCCTTCATACATTGTGAGGACGTCCCTAAGCGCGACTGGGAAATAAATTGTCAGGAAGCATCAGGCGGGAACCGTTGTTGTAAACCTGGGACCAAAGGCCCAATTTGGTGACACCTCATTTGCCCTTGCAAAAAACGGGATGCGAGTCCCGGGAGAAGACCTTAACTCAAAAATGCGATAGTTACCGGGCAGGGGGATCAACTATAATTATTTTTTAGAAATCAAAACTATGCACAACAACAATAACAATAACCACGACGACGACGACGACGACAACAAGAACAACAACAACAGCAACAATAATTTTAAGACGGTTCGCCCTTATATGCTCGAGTGTCCAATAACACTATTTCCCAAACCCTCGGCACCCGCCCTCTTCGGCTTCGATCGAACCCCTTTTGGGGGATATACCTTTCTTCCCTGCAGGCCGGGCCCCGGCAAGCGGCGGGGCGGCCGCGGACCGTCGGCCTGGCCCGCGGCAGCGCTGATCGGCGGGGCGGCCGCGGACCGTCGACCCGACCCCAAGAGGGACGGACAGGGGACCGACCACGACGACCGACGACGACGACGACGACGACGACGACGACGACGACGACGGCGACGACGAGCGAAAGCGAGAGCGAGAGAGAACGACAGCAGGGCCACGAAGGGCACGAAGTAGGCCACGAAGGGCGACAGCGGGGACACGAAGGGAATGCGTATGGGGCCACGAAGAGCGCGAACGAGCGGGGGCCACGAAGTGCAGATAATGCGGGGCCACAGAAGGCAACTATGGGGCCACTGAGGGTAGCAACTGGGCCACGTAGGACAATCAGGGGGACACAAATGGCGACAGCGGGGCCACGAAGGGCATGCACATGGGGCCACAACGGGCGCGACTCATGGGTGCCTGGGTGTCGGAAGCGCGGCGCTTGGGCAAATTGCAGGAAATTCCAACGCAGGGCCATTCTTCAGTAAGTTGCAAGCAAGTCTCCAGCGAGAGCGCGACTCCAGAGCGCCGGGAGAGCGATTCCTGAATAGATTGTAAGGAAGTCCCAAGCGAGAGCGCGATTCCTGAATAAAATGCGAGGAAGTCTCGGGCGGGAGCGAGGGTCCTGGCTCTAAATTGTAAGGAAGTCTCAGGCGGGAGCCGTTGTTGTTGTAACCCGGGGGCCAGGGGCCCAGTTTGAGCCTCAAGGCTTTCCCTGTCAAAAAGCGAGCGTCGAGGGGCACAGTTTGATTGAGAAAAAGCAGTATGCGCCGGTGGGGGGATCAACAATAATTATTCTTCAGAAATGATAATTCAACAACAGCAACAGCAACAGCAACAACCAGAACCACAACCACAACAACAGCAGCAGCAATAACAGCAGCAGCAACAACAACACCAACACCAACACCAACACCAACAACATCAACAGCAACAACAACAACAGCAGCAGTAACAGCAACAGCAACAGCAACAACCACAACCACAACCACAACAGCAGCAGCAGCAACAACAACAGCAGCAACAACAACACCAATAACAACAACAGCAAGTATAACCAAAACAACAGTAGCAACAGCAACAGCTTCGACAACAATAACAACAACCACCACAACAACAGCAGCAACAACAAAAAAGTTCGTCGCGAATTGATCCCGATGCGAAAGAAGCTGGGCATGCTTCCACCCCACCCCCCCACGACAAGGCCCACTAAACCACAGGCGCGCCTTGATGCTGACGGCCTCCTCGCCGTAAGGCCCGGGGCCGTGCGGGACGGCACCGAGCAGCTCGCCGAGGGTGTCCTGCCGCGGGAGGGCAGCTCGAGCGGCAGGGCGGTGAGAAGCGCGCTCTGATGATTGCCATCCAGGTTCAGGCCACCAGTTTTAGGTCGGGCATGTCCCCCTATACAGGCGGATTTGACGAATAACAATCGCCACACAAAAACACATACAAAAAACAGAAATGGTAGAAAGATCGTCCCCATACTATGTCTTATCTTTGGATACATACTGCCGCTTGTTAGCTCCGTTTAGCAGCTATCCTCGAGCAGCTGACAGCCCCATGCCCCCAGCGGTCCTCGTGCGGCGCGCGGCCAGGACGGCCCGAAGGGCGCCGCAAGGCTCGGGAGGCGGTGGGCAGGGGGCCACGGGCCCCGCGCGAGCGGGAGCCGCCCGAGCAGCAAGAGGCAGGGAGGCGGGCAGAACGACGAAGGAGGCGGGAAAGGCCAAGGGGCCCGGCAGAGGGACGGCACGCCGCTTGGGAGGCTCGGCACGTCGGCTCTGGGCATTCGCTCGAGCGAGACAGGACTTGTTGGCTGCCACGGCGACGCGCGGTGATGCGCGTGTCGAGGAAGACGGCGAGGCCGAGACCAAGACGACGACGACGACGACGACGACGACGACGACGACGACGACGACGACGACGCCGACGCCGACGCCGACGCCGACGCCGACGCCGACGACGGCGACGACGACACCGACGACGACGCCGACACCGACGATCAGAATCATCATAATCATCATCCTCATCGTCATCAACAGTAGCATCCTCAGCAGCATCCTCATCAGAATCATAGTCGTCAATGTCATCATCCTCATCATCATCATCATCAGCAGCAGCAGCCGCATCATCATCATCTTCATCATCAGCATCAGCATCATCTTCATCATCATCACCATCAGCAGTATCACCATCAGCATTATCAGCAGCATCATCAGCATCGGCATCGACATCGTCATTGTCATCGTAAGTATCATCATCAGCCCCACCATCGCAACCACCATTATCATCACCATCACCATCACCATCACCGTCACCATCATGGTCACCAGTATCATCAGCATCATCATCAGCATCAGCATCATCATAGTCATCATCATCCTCAGCATCAGTATCCTCAGCAGCAGCATCATCAGCAGCAGTATCATCGGCAGCAGCATCATCATCAGCAGGGCAGCAGCATCGTCATCACCATCATCGCCATCGTCGCCATCGTCACCATCATCGTAATCGTCACCGACATCATCATCGTCATCCTCATCGTCAGCCTCACCCTCATCCTCCTCCTCAGATTCGCATCACGTGGCGGATCCAAGTTGCCGCCAGAGGGCGGGGGGGAGGAAGCCTCTGTGAACACGCTGCCGTCGAACTTCATCAGGGATCGCTCCAGCACCCCGACGCTGATGAGGCCGCCGCCGTCGACGTCAAAGATCTGGGGAGGGAGAGGGAAGGGAGCCGATGGCGAGGAGGCGGAAGAGGTGGAGGAGCAGAGGTGTGGAGCGAGCTCCTCACGTGGCGGAGCCGCGACAAAAGCAAAGGAGAGTTTCCAATTGAGCGGGCTCCATCTCCGCTTGCAGCGACAAGTGTTCATGAACCTGGCTCGTCATGTTGATTCTCGGATCGGAGGCCCGAAAACGGACTGGAACCCAGCGCCTCGAACCTGCCCGTGCCCGCCCTCCCTGCTCGCTGGAACCAATGCTGTTCCACCTCAGGCCCCAGAGCTGACTCCAACTTCCAGGAGGGGGAGAGAAGGAGCAGCAGGAGGAGGAGGAGGAGGAGGAGGAGGAGGAGGAGCAGGAGGAGGAGGAGATAGAGGAGGAGGAGGAGGAGGAGGAGGAGGAGGACGAGCAGGAGGAGGAGGAGGAGGAGGAGAAGGAGGCGGAGGGGAAGAAGGTGGAGGTTGAGGAGGGGAAGGAGGGGAAGGACGAGGAGGAGGAGGAGGAGGAGGAGAAGGGGAAGGAGGAGGAGGAGGAGGAGGAGGGGAAGGAGGAGGAGGAGGAGGACTTGCAGAAGGACTTGCAGCAGCCTGTGCGACCACGTCTGGCGGCCGCGGGGGTGCAGCGAACAGGGAGCAAGCGGGCGAGGCGCCGATGCCCAGATCCGTGCGGCGAGTGGCAAGCGCGCGACCCCCGCGCCCGCCCGGGCCCGGGCGCGCGAGGCAGGGCGCGCGACGGGGCTCGGCCTCAGCAGCGTCTTCCGGGCTCGCTTTCGTTTCCGCTGTCCCTCGCTCCGTCTTCATCCCGCCTCGATGCTGTCCGCCTCGTTCTGTCTTCGTCCTGCCTCTGTGCTGCCAAAAACAGGGCCGAAACGAGAACGGCAATGGAGATCGACGAGCCACCATTCAAGTCGAGCCCCCTGGCGCGCGAGGAAGGGGACCCAGCCAGGCTCTGGCGGCGCGCACGAAGGGGTAGGGGGAGGGCTTCTCAGAAGGAGGCTGCGTCTTGGGAGGCGCCAGGAGGCCCGCGCCTCCTGAGAAACAGGGGTGCTTCTGAGAAGCCTCCCCCCTCTCAGCTACACGCAGGAGCGACCCTGGGTAAAAGTGGCCCTTGGTGCGCTGCTTTGGGGGGGGGGGGGGGGGCGCGGGGGGACTTAGCACAATCGCGCAAGACGCTACCATCGCACCGCGCTCGGCCATCGGGGGACCCCGGTGGGCCCCCACCAGCGGTCACTCCGGCGAAGGGCCTCTCTCACGTGCAGTCGGCCCTCCCCCTACTCCCCTCTGCGCTGCCGCTCCCTTCTGCGCGTGGCTGACAGCCACGCTCGCGCCGTGAGAAAAGTCCGGACGGGGAGTCTTTCGCCGCGCTTGGCCTCTCACCCGGCCCCGGGAGCGCTCGGGGCGAGACGCCGGCCCCGGGGAAAAATATCAAGAAAGTCCTGGAGGCCGCGCGGCAACTTGAGACCCTATTCGCGTCGGATCCACGTCGGATCTACGTCGGATTCACGTCGGACTGCAATGGATTCACGTCGGACTTCCGTCGGACTGGCGTCGCCGCGCGAGCGTCGACCCGCAGCTTACGGAACTGACACGTAAACCAAATCATGTTACCACTGCGCGCCGCGCGAGGCCTCCAGGAGTTCCTCACAGGGACAGGGCCGGGACCTCCAGGAACCGCGCACCGAAAAACTCCGGACAGCGCACGCCTGGGGACTCCTCCGGGGGACTCCTCCTCCTCCGAGGCGGGAGGACCCTCACCAACGCCCTGCTTGCCCTGCCCGCGGCCTGGCTCCCCAGCGCCACCGCCCTGCCCCTCCCGGGGACGGGCCTCTCCTCCGGCTGGCCGCTCTGCGGACCGGCCTTTCCTCTCGATGCCGATCTGCGGGCCCGGACCCCCGACGCCGTGATGTTTTCGCGTCGACGCCCAGAGCTCTTCTCGCCCCATTTTGGCCTCCTGGGGGGGGGGGCCCTGGTTGAAGCTCCCCTCTTGTTTGACCAGGAGGCCCCGAGAGGTCCCAAGATGGCCCCAAGATGGCCCCAAGGGGCCCCCCAGAGGCCCCCAGGTCTGGACCCTTTCCCCAGGACCGGTGCCTCGTCCTGGATCGTTGCTTGTGACGGTCCCGCGGCCCTGTGAGGAGGGCCCCCGGAGGCCGAGAGGAGCGCACAGCCTCCCGTCGTGTCTGTCTTCATGACTCGAGGGGAGCTTCTGTTCACAGCGCGAGGGAGTCTGTCTGAGGACAGCCCGGGGGGGGGGGCAGCGGCCAGGGCCCCCCCCCCCGCCAAGTCCGGGGCATCTCTCTCTCTCTCTCTCTCTCTCTCTGGCGGCGCGCGCTGGGGGAGCGGCGCGCGGCGCGCACGCGGGGGAGGCCGCACAAGGGGGGGGGGGAGGGCCAGGGGCGCGAGGGGGGGGGCGCCGAGGGGGAGGCGCGAGAGGGGGTTCGGCGAGGCAGCGCGAGAGGGGGGGGTAGGGGGCAACTGCTGGGCCAGTGAATGCCTACCAGACCACCCCAACCCAACCCGAAGACCAGATTTTCGGGTTGGGCGGGGTACAGGTTCCATGTGTGTTTTACTTGTGTTCCTCGGCCTTCCCTCCACCGGAAATAGAGGGCAAATGGAAGCCTTCGGGTTGGGTTGGGGTGGCTTGGTGGGTGGTGAGGCAGAAGAGCCCAGGAGTCGAATCGATAAGTCGGATCGGCGATCGAAAGGAGTAGGATCGGCAGGAATCGGCAGCCAAGTCGGGAAAAGTCGAATCGGGAGAAATCGACAGGCTAGTAGGCCTCCTTTGAGGAATCGGCATTCAAATCGGAATCCGAAGTCGAATCGAATCGGAATCGGAATCCATCGAAATCGAATCGAATCGAATCGGAGGAGTCGAAACAAGCCCTACTGGGGGGGAGCTTTTCCTGAGATCCTTGCGTTGCACTTTTTTGTGACACTGGGAGGTTCGTTCGGCTCGATTTCGGGCCCCTGGACCCTCACGGATCGATGCGGCTCGAAAAGTGACGCAGAAAGATGGGGTCTGGGGCTCTGGACGTGATTTTTTGCGATGTTGCAATTTATTTGCAACGTCGGCTCTCAGGGTCGTCGGAAGGATCAGTGCCCCACTTACGAGGCGAGGGCGCCGCGGCACGCCGCGGCGCGCCGCCCCGCGGCCGCGCCGCGGAGCGGCCCTACAGGTCGAGGTCGTCCTCGGCCTCGTTGGGGGTGCCCACCAGGAGCGCCTCGCGCCGCCGCTCGTCGTCCAGCGGCCGCGCCTCGAGGAGCTTGAAGATCGGGGGGACGTACGGGTGGGGCACAGTCGGCCCGCATAGTTAAGGATGCGCGAGAAGACAGGTCAAACAAAAAACCACCCCCATCATGACCACCCCGACACGCGAAGTCACGCGAAGTCGTGTAGTGAACGAGCCCAGAGGGAATCGAGGAGGACAGGGCTGCTTAGTGAACGCCCAGGACAGGGGACATACGGGTGGGGCACAGTCGGCCCGTTTAGTACAGTGGAGACCAGCCCACAAGAGAAACCTTCCACAGGAGGCCCAACCCCGAGGCCCCAGGACGTCCCTCGACTTTTTTTGGTGTGGGAACGTCACGCTCTCCATGGCAAAACCATCGAAACCCAAGAAACCCAGGGCACCCTGGAGGCAAGCAGGGCGGTTCTTGGAATGGGTCTCCACTGTACGGATGCAAGGGCCTTGGAAACCCGTTTCAAAGCTTTTCGAGCGGGGCGCGGCCAACGAAAGTGGTCAAGGATGTACCGGAAGAAGCAAATAAATGTGAGCATCCAATTGAGTTCGTTCCCCAACCCCAAACCCCCGGCGTCGTGATTTGTTGACGACGTCGACCCCCAAAGGTCTCGACCCACTCCCGGGGCCCAGTTTCTCATTCTGAGTCGTTTCTTGATCATGAGTCGAGTGAGTCTGGGAATGTGAGCATCTAGCTGAGTTCGCTCCCCAAACCCACCTTGGGCTAACCCCCCCTCTACGAGCCCCCGAGAAGATCTCGTTGAGGTACATCCGCCCGGGCAGTGCGGCTGGTCGGAGGGCCGCAGCGGGGGCGGACCGTCCATGGGGCGGGCAGTGCCCGTCCTCCTCCTCCTCCTCCTCCTCCTCCTCCTCCTCCTCCTCCTCCGTCTCCATCTCCTCCTCCTCCTCCTCAAGCACAAGCGGCGCGCGACCGGGCGGCTCCCCTTTTGGCTCCAACCGGTCATGCAGCCACTCTCGGCGTCTCATCGCGGCGTGCTTGTGGCAACCTGGAGATGTTGCAGCATTCACTGGTGTGGGTCTTGCTTTTATCGATGGGTTGGCCAAGACCGAGAGAAATTCATGCAGGTAATTTTTCCCCAGCAGCTTCCTCATCGGTGCTGGCCACGTGTGACTTTGTGGTTTACTTCGTCCACGTCGCTTTCGTGCTGCACGGGTGCATACTGGGCCCTTTTGTATCTCAATGTTCAAGCTTTCCTGTGCATCGACTTCGTGGTCCGTCCCAGGCTGCAGGGCAATGGGGGCAGCTGCTGGCATTGACCCACCCGCCTTGGGCGCCCCACGGGGGCAGCGGCCGCAGAGGGCCCCGAAAGGGGCGACAGGAAAAGCAGAATGTCAGGATCTGTTTCCATCAACTTCCACAAACACCCCACTGCAAATACAGATTCGGCGAATGTGTTGGCGGACAGCCGCTCGTGAAGATTGCGCAAATGTGCGAGGCGTGCGCGGAGCGCTTCCGTGCTGACCGCACTGCCCGAGTTTATTTGTCCGCGCGCGCGCAGCGTGGTTAAGCGCATTGCGATCAGGCAAGCGATCCAATACGCGCCCCCGCGCGCGGACGCGGGCCCGGGCGGTTTGCGCCGCGACTTGGCCGGGCAGCTTCATCGCCAGGGCAGCCCCTGGCTTGCTGGCATATGTGCGCGCGTTGCGACCGTTTGTAGCCCTGCCATGGGCGACCAGAGTCGCCTTGCATTGTCACGAGCGGCCGACGCGCGACGCAACTCCGCGACGTCTGCGGCGCACAGCGCGCAAACAAACAAAAAAAGGAGGCGGGGGACTAGCAGCAGGGGGGGGGACAGAAGGAGGAGGAGGGCGGCAAGCAAGTGGAGGAAGAGAGGGGAGGTGGGGCATCGGCGGGCGCGATCGGGGGGATGGGGTCGAGGAAAGGTCGGACCCTGA